AATTCAAAGTCTGTTAGATACTACATAAGGTCTACATGATCTGGCCCCTTGTTATCTTTTTGACAGCTGACCTATTACCCTTTGCCCAGCTAACTCTGCTCCAGCCACACTGGCCTTCTTGCTATTCCTCAGACATTACAAGCACAAGCACACCTTTGCCTCAGGACATTCACCTATCTTTTGCCCTTGCCTGGGATGCTATCCCCACATGACATGGTTTTTTCCTCCACGTCTTTCAGGTCTCTACTCAATTGTCCCCTTCTTTTCGTTTTCCTGATTTCCCCTATATTTAAAAATCCCCTCTCCATATTCATATGCCTGGTGACGTTATATTTCATAGCACATATCACCACCAGAATTACATATTTATGTGCTTATATATTTGTCCTCTGTTCCCCCCTCCCTTCCCCAACGTTTTCTAACTGCTCAATTCTCTTTCCCCAAATAGTACCTGGCCCATAGTGGCCACTCAGTTAATAATTTTTCAATGAACCTGAATCAAAATTCATCTTTTGTTTGCACGGTAACAATGCTTTTAAATATTTGGAACCAGTTCTACATTCATGTATTAAAAGTAATTGACTGGCCCAGCCAGCATGTCTCAGTTGTTGAGCATCAACCTATGAACCTGGAGGTCATGATTCAATTCCATGGTCAGGGCACATGCTCCGGTTGCCAGCTTGATCCCCAGTAAGGGGCATGCAGGAGGTAGCCAATCAATGATTCCCTCTTATCATTGATGCTTCTCTCTCCCTCTGTCCCTCTCTGAAATCAATAAAAATATATTTAAAAACAAAAAGTAATTGATTAAACTCAGCACATGTCCTCAATATATATACCCATTGAAAATTTCTCTGCAGCTTAGTTTATGGGAAATCATGCTTAGATTTCAAATTCAACTTCTTTGGTGAGTTTGTATATCTTATTGATAGAGTGAAGATGCACTAGTTTAAGGTTCCCCTGAAGAGCTGGGCTTTGTGCCTAGAGAGTTAAAGGGCATTACAAATGCGAGCTGCACCACTTGGAGCACATTCCCAGAGCGGGGCCTCTTCAGCTTTGCCTGCCTGGCTCTTGGAAACAGAAGGAAAACAGTCAGATTCATTCCCCCAGTGCCAATTTCCAACTGCCCTCATTATCACTTCTTCCAATATCTTCCTTCAAGAACCAAATTACTAATTTTTTTAATACTGAACTTTTTTGTTCTGTACATAAAACATTATGTATTTACATATTTTATTTAGCAACTTAAAATAAAGATAGTTGGAAGAAGCAGAAAGAGATTGAGTTTTCTTGTTAAAACTATTGGGGACCAGCTGGTGGGGCTCAGAGGTTGAGAGTTGCCCTATGAACTAGGAGGTCATGGTTCCATTCTTGGTAGGGCACATGCATGGGTTGTGGGCTCCATCCCCAGTAGGGGCTGTGCAGGAGGCAGCCAATCAGTGATTGTCTCTCATCATTGATGTTTCTCTCTCTCTTTCCCTCTCCCTTTCTCTTTGATATCAATAAAAATATATTTTAAAAAAACTGTTGGGGGCTGTGTTTATTCTTAGTGACTTGTACTGTGCAACTATGTTCCATAAGGAAAAGCTCTTATGAGTGCATTCCAATATAAAAGGTGCAATCCAAGAATGAATTCTCACTCTTATTTTTTTATAGCAGATGACTAGGTGCTCTGTTACCTAATGGACTCCATGTTGTTTTTATTTTTGTTTTTTAATTTTCTTCTTGTAAGGGTAAGACCTTGACCTGAGCCTCTCTCCTATTCTCTCTCTCTATTTCTTCTATATAACTTCTCCTCTCCTCTGTACCCCACATATTTTCTCCACTCCCCCATGCCATTAGCCCGAATTACGTCAGAGGAGCAAGCTTCTTTGTGCTTGGGAAAATAGGCAAGAGGATCTCTAGCCAGGAAAACTCTTTTCAATTCATTTTTCTTTACTTGACATTCTTGAGCCTGCTGCAGGGGATAATGAAATGAATTAAACAGGTCCTGGCTCTCCAGTGGCTTATAGTCAATGCTTGTCCATTTTTCCTTTGGCTGTTGTGGAAAGGCAAATGGCAGAAATCTCAAAGGAGGTGAAATAGGTCTGCTCTCACCTGAGACAAATTTTTGGCCCTTTATGTGTATTTGCATAAACTTTAATTTTAAAAATCTAAAACACCTTAACATGATTATAATTACCTTAACCTAATTACTATGGTTACATTTTAAAATGTGCACATTTTAAAACAAATATTAAAATAAAATTCTAAAATGTAAATTACTCTCGGGTGCCCAATGATTACTTTTCAAGTACATATCAGATAAAATTCTCTTTTAAATCCTAGGGTAGAAAAACATCCCCCCCTTTTTTTTGCAGCTCAACCCAAGAGCTCTGATAGAATGTACAGATTCTATTTGCATCACTTCCCTAAGAGAACAGAAGATGAATAAATGAATCCATGTGAATACTGGATGGGGAAAATAGGGAGCCTGGGTTCTAGATGTTATTCAACCTATTGCTCACCAATTGGTATTCTTATGCAAATACCCGCCCCCCCCCCCCTTCTAGATTTGAGTTTTCTTCACCTGTAAAGCCAAGGGATTGGATTAAATGATGTTTGCAATTCTTTCTTCTGTTGACATTGTCTTATCTGATGCTTCTTGCAAGAAAATCAGTGCATTGCATGATGAACCCACATGCCTGTAGGTTCAAGGAGAAGAAACAAAGAAAGATGACCTCCAATGCTGGGGTTTCTTTTGGAGAGGGTGTGAGAAAAGGTAAACTAAGAAAAGGTGTAGGCAGAAATGAGAGCAATTTCAAGCAGATAGAGACAAGGATGATGAAGAAGGGGTTTTAATGGTCAGAGTTAAAAGAGCATCTATTAAATGTTAGTCATTATGTTAGGTGCTAGAGACATAAAACAAATAAGACTCAGTCTTCACCTTAAGGGACTTGTAGTTTGGTGGTAGAGAAAGACATGAATAAAAGAAAAGACATTTCATGAGTACACAGAGATAGAGGATGTGAAATTGTAGGAACACAAGACAATGGTCAGATAAGGCTTAAAGAAGAAAGTGATTTTTAAGTTGAGACTCAAAAGATGAGTAGAATTACTACAACTCAGAGAGATTAATAAGAAAGGAGAAATAATATGGCAATAGAAAAATATAAAGAAGGGGCAAGGAGATTGACTTGGCAATTAACCCAATATATGAAAGGTGGGTGTGGTGGTTCTTCCCCCGTTCCTTCTCCCACCTCCTGTCTACAGCCAATTTTCTTCAGTGTCAAATATTAAGGGTAGAGCTAAACAAGTACCTTCTATGCTGAAAACAAGGACTTCAGTTCTTTCCTTCCATAAAACCGCAGCTATGTTTCCTGGATCATTTGTTGACATTGGAGGTTTATGAGAAGTAAAAGTATTTGTGATCTCTTTCAAATTATTTGTAAGCTCTCTCCCCCACCCCTCCTTCAGTCTGTAATGACTTGTTACTGACACACTTTCTTTCCTGTGCTGAACAAGCACTAAATCAGGCTGCTTAATTACCTCTGTCTTCGTTCCACCTCCTCACAGCTGAGCCTGTCCAGCTTTGCCTTGCCTAGTAGGCAGAGGAATGGTTGTCTGCATTGTTTTGAGAAGGATCTCTCTGGAGAACTGAGCCAGGTGTGGGGACTAGTGTTAGACAGCACCAATCAAGTAAATGATGACATTTTCTTAAGGATACCCCCAACCTTACCCTGCTTGTTTCTTTCAAGTAGGGTTCCCCTGAGTAGAGTCGGATACACAAGAACAGAATCTGAGTTAGCCTGGGCTAAGCCAGGGGTTCCCAGACAATGTGTGGAACCCCAGGAAATGGGGTGAATATGATGGTAAGAGTTGAAATTTCAGTCGTGTCTGTGAATCTCTTCTTATAGAAAGGCATTTCCCTTCTTTTCCTTTCCTTATTATCCACCAATTGGCACATTGCATTTGAGGGGAAATTTTTTTTTCTTTGGGCCAGATTCTGACAGGCCACTTAAAAATGCCCTTTCTAATTGAAATGATAAAACACAGGAGAATTTACTCCAAAGAGAACCAGTGTGTGAAGTTGTGCCTGCTTTCTTTACTGCTGGTTTCTGTATACTGGAGCATCCTGGTGCCAGTTTAAAGCCCCTGTTAGTGTCCATTTTATTAAGTTCTTCTATTTCTACCCGTACTCTGCATGGTTCTTTTTACTTTATCAGTCTATTAAAACATGTGTCACTAGGGTATTTCAGGTGTCTTATGTTATGGCTTAGAGATTGGTTGGAGAAGGGAGTTGTTTGGATCAAAATTATGCCTCTTGCTCCTTCCAGGTGCTGGTGGTCTCCATCTGAGGACTGTGAAATGCCATTTTAGAAGAAGTAGCTGTAAGACATCTGGAATTATAGTTTGCTATTTGAGAGCTCAGAACAGCAGCAAATTCAGAGTCTCTCTTCTCCTTGGACAATGATCCTTGTCTTGTGGCTAGGGACAGGAAATGGGTTTCATTGTGATTCACTGTATAGCTTATTTAAAATAATTTAATTTTAACCCGAAAAAGCAGAAAGTACATGGGCTTAAAAGTGACACTGACTCTAAAATGGGTAATCCTATCTTATATAATGCTTTTGAAGTTTAAATAATAAATGGAAGATGCCTAGCATAGTACCTAGGTTAGTGCTCTGTATGTTTGTTAAATTAACACATGAATGAATGGGGGTGATGTCCCATGACTGCATGACCCATTAAGTGGTTATGTGAAAACCATGTGATTATGAGAAAAAAAGGCCTTGAACCTCCCCCCCTCCCCCGCACTCTCCATTGGAGATATTACATGATTTTATCATAGAAAGCAGTTATATATATAGCTGCTTTTTCACATTATGGTAAATATCAGGTACATTGTGACACCACCCATTATAATTTGACATGAACTTTTCTGTTTTAGGGGCAAAGTATGCCTCTCTTCCCAAATACAATAGTTTTATAAAATGACTCTGACACAATACATTTCTTAGGTCCGGGCCATAGACCAGTGTGCATACTCGAAGACACTCAAGAATTTTACCATAAGGCTGAGTTTGGTTGGTAAGACCTACTGTTTTGTGTTGAATCTAAGCAGGCTTAGTTATTTAAGTGTCACTAGGATCCAAATGCAAGATAGGTTGTCCTTTAAGGCTAGTCTCAGGACAAAAACTCTATAATTACTATTGAAGGTATATATTTATGGATTTGTGAGATCTTCATCAAATTTAATTAAAAGATTGGTCAATGAGTTAGTGGTAAATCATAGAAAAACTTCGTTGTGTCTTGGTTTCAGTTCATTCCTCTTTGTAGATACTTCTATTTGGGGGATAAGGTCTGAAATTATTAATGTGGCCTCTAAGGCCCTACTCCTCTCCAGCCTCTTCTCATCCCACTCCACATTCATGCAACAATCTTGCTACATTGGCCTTTTTAAAGTTCCCTGAAAATGTTTCCTTCTTTCCTACCTCAGAGCCATAATAATTGATGTTTCTTCTTTCTGAAATGTTCATTATCAACCTTTCCACCTGGATAATTCTTACTTAAAATGTTACTTCCTTAGAGAAGCTATTCTGATCCTCCAGACTCTGCTAAATACCCTTATTAGATGGTCTCTTGACATTCTGTATTTTCCTTTCTCAGCACTTATCTTAACTATAATTTACAGTTACTGTCTAAGCATTTATTTAATATGTTTCTCTTTCTAGCTTCATCAATGTAGGGATTATTTTCTGAGCTGCTTGTTGTGGTACCTCTAGTTTTTAGCACAGTGTTTAGTTAATAGTGAGCAGGTAATAAAGATCCATCATTGAACACATTCATCAATACTGCAAACGTGCTTGAAAGGTGCAAAGGTTGCTTCATCATATATCCATTTGTACTTTTAATGATAACATTAGAGTGAGTGAGTCCTAAGCACTTACACAGTCTCGGGCATGCTGCTTCTGCTCTCTAGACCTCAGCTCATCAGTAGAATGGGGAGGTCAGACTCCGCTAAATGATATGTTAAAGTCCTTTCAGTTTTAGATGCCAAATATGTCAATGCTCAGCTTACCAAAATTTTAATGCTGACTACTTTATTAAAAATGAACTCATAAGATAGGTGGAATATTTTTAGCTGTAAAATAGTAAAAGCATTTGTAAAAGTGCTCCTCTAAAATGTGAGTGATTTTATAATTTTGAAAAATATTTAGCTAGACTTATTTTAACATTTATGTGCACTTCATTTATTTTACATATCTGGAAAAAGAAATAATTCAGTATCCCAGTCACTGAGCATTTCTCAAAATTGAAATGGAACAATCCATATTTATAAAAACACTCTTCACCAAATGTTAAATGTTTGTGAACTTTGGCTAATCCTGTTAGAAGCTTTACTACATTGTTGATTTTTTTTTAAAACCTCAACTGTATTTGGAAATGAATATTCATTATTATCATCATTATGACCAATAACTATGATCTAAGAATCTTATGTTATAAACTCTTATGTGATAGTTAATCAGAGTTTAACCTTCTCCCTATGTAAACAATTGATCTGTAAAGCAGTGATCTAGCTAAAATTATTTATTTGAATAACTAATATTTTATCTTCTTTCAAAAAAAGATACAGTAGCATTTAGAGAAACGTTTAAATTTATAAGTAACTGGGCTGAGAAGAAAACTTGGTGCTGCTCCATAGTTACTGCTCGAGCAGTATAATTGTGTTAGAAAAGTTTGATAATTATTGAGCAGCTATCTACTTGACATTTTAACAAACAACTTTAAATGAATCATTTCTTGTGAAACAATATAATTTAATTTAAACTGACTTTATTTTCCTTTTTTTAAACTCAACATCATAAAACTATTCATTACATACATAGTAAGTATAATCATATGCCATTTCTGTTGCCTCATTTATAGAAGGAGAATTTTCACCTTCCTAACATCCAGTGGTTTTACATATTGTTAGTTAATTCAGAAAATATTGATTTGTTATCATTTATTTGCAAGGCATTGTTCTTGATGCTTGGCATCTATAATAATAAAAGCGTAATATGCTAATTAGACCGGACAGCTGAATGACCTTCTGGACATCCTTCCAGACTACCTTCCTGATGAAGTCAGGGCTGCGAGGGCCGAGCCCTTGCATGAATTTCATGCATCAGGCCTCTAGTTAAAACACAATTAGATTGATCAGGACTTCAATAAGCTAACCGTGTATCAAAGATGATAAGACATGTGCATAACTAAAGAGAAGGTTAAAAATTGGGATAAGCATCACAAGGAAGGTGCAAGCTAGGCATTAAGGATCCATAGCTTACATCTTCTATACAACTTTATGTTTGTTCCAAGACTTTGCATCTTCCTTAGTGCCTAACACAGAGCCCTGCATATAAAACATATACAATTGATGTTAGCTTAGCAGGTGAGCTGTGAAACTATTTTTTAAACCTATATCTGTTTGACAAACAGGATTCTTTTTATCAAAGTCAAACCTAAAGTCTTCAATCTGAAAAGCATGATACTTGACTTTCTTCTGATCTTGTGAATTACTGAGGTACAATGAAGGCATAAATGATGTCTAAAGACTCTTGCCTCCCTAAGATTTCATGACCCTTTAATACTCGATAGTCAGACATACTGGTCATGATACCAGCTACTGTACAGTCAACACTTTTTCAGTTCTCCACCATCTCCACTTCAGTACAGAACTTTTCTGCACTGGCTTACACCAAGCAGAAAATTTTCCGGAAGATTCACTTGCCCCCCTTTAAAGACACCTGGCTGAATTTCAGAGGAAAAGGATACAACAGGATAAGAAGGAAACAAAAAAGACAGTCCTCTTTACTCCCCTAAGTTTCAGCAGTTTGACTGACTCTTTCTTGTGAATTTTTCTTGCCACTGAGTCATTGCACACACAGAATTATGAAGCTTTAATTTCTTTAGAGGCTTGTTATATTAGAAAAATTGTTCCAAAGAAAGCAACAATCATGACATAAGCACATCTGGCTCTGGAAAATTATTCTTTATTAAGCTTTCATTTAATTACATGTGCTGAAAGGTCTGTTTTTGATTACTGTAATTTTTTTTATTTGTCCATCTGAATGATAGTAATACTGGAAATTACATACAAACCACCTGTTTTTTCTCCCCTACTAATGTGGCAAAGTTTGAGCTATTTTCTTTGTGGTTACTGAAAGTAGGAAGTTTTCTACTAATTATGATATAATATGCCTATTAAGGTAAACGGCTTATTCTTGATAAGACGAAAAGAAAATATTTAAATGGCGTTTTCAAGCATGAAATAGTGGTAAGATTGAGGTATCTGAATTCTGGTCAACTAGCAGTTCAACTAGTTAATGTGTCACCAATTTCATCCAAAACCTAATAAATTGGCAGTTAATTATTTAACATCCTGTGCTACAAGAAAGAAGCTTGACTTTAATTTTTTTACTATTATTTTTTCACAAATCTGGCTGTATTTTCCTTAGGACCATGGTATACACTGCCTAGAAATAAGACCCTGAGAAAAGAGTGATGTCCATTGGGCCTCAGGGATCTTGAGGGCAGCACTTTTATCCTTCAGAGAGATCAGAGGTCCCAGAGAAGCGTGGTCAGTACCAAATGAGAACAATGTTCTTGTAGGAAATCCCTAGGAAAGCTCAGATCAGTTTCTTAGTTCACGAATGTTAAAATTACAAGAATGGACACACCGACTTTTAAAGAACTTTTAGTAAAGACATTAGACACTAGAAAGAATCTTCGAGACCATTTAGTCAAATTCCTTTTTGGGCAATTGAAGAGAATGAGTTCTAGAGTGATCAAGTCCTTTGTTTAGGGACATAAAGTTATTGCTGGAAGGACCAGGGACAGGACAATGACTCCCATACCAGTACTTGTTTTTTTGTTTTGTTTTTTTGTTTGTTTGTTTTCTGCTACATTATTTGATCTCTCTTATTTTCCTCTTTAAAAAATAGTGAAAGAGAAATTGCAAAGCTGTCAGAGAAATAGTTATCTAACAATACGGTAAGTTTTTTTGTAACTCCATTTCAGCTGCATTTATAGAGATAATGTTTGTCTTCCCTGTTTTGCAGCAGCTCTATGCCGCTCAGCTGGCCAGCATGCAGGTGTCACCTGGAGCAAAGATGCCATCAACTCCACAGCCACCAAACACAGCAGGGGCAGTCTCACCTACTGGGATAAAAAATGAAAAGAGAGGGACCAGCCCTGTAACTCAAGTTAAGGTACTTGCTTTGCAGGATTGTGGAAACAGTTTGGAAAATAGCTTCACAAAAAAGGTAGTGAACCAGGCTGTGCTGGGAATAAACAGCAGGAAGCAGAGCAACATAAAGGATCCCCAAATGCTCCTCTTTATGGTGAATTTCATGATTGAGCACTGAGAAACAGGTGTTTCCCGTTTGATAACAATAGTGCCATATTGTGAGATCTTTACCTAAATCCGCAAACTCACTTCTCAAGAGTTTTCCCCCTTTGGACTCCAGCTTTTATTTTTTAATGTTCACTGGCATGAATGGCCATGGTTTTATTACCAGTGTTTGTCATAGACTTGTGACATTTCTCTCTAAGTTTCTTAAACAGGTGGGGAGCCAACTTATACTACTAGAGAAGGAGGATCTCCGCACTTTAGATTTAAAAAGGGGAACAAAAGGAGCCTAATGCTGAGCTTTATGTGGTTTTCTGATAAAGGTCTCCCCTTCAAAAATAGAAAGGTGGGGTCTGAAGAATGAGGGGTAGCATTGCATAGTCATGTCTGATGCCATATAGGTTGTGATAAGATAAACAGTTGTTTTATATAATTGACTTATCTACTTAGAGGAGTATGCTAAGCACGGATGTATGATTGTAATGTGCCCAAAGTACTTCATTGGGGAGAAAATTTGCAATTATTAAATCTTCACATGGAAAATATCTAAAACTCAACAAAAAAGCATTGAATGCTACAGACTCACTGAAATAATTTTATTTTCTAATATTTGCAGACAGAAATGTTGAGATTTCAGAAAGGACTTTATAGAAATGAATCCTAACTACCAAAGATAAGAAAAGTAACATCATTAAGAAAGATAGTCTGGCTGTGCCACACCTAAAGGAATTAATTTAATGCCACCCATGTTTTTAGATTCTCCAAAGAACTAGATGGACATTTATGCTTTGTTGTTAGAAATATTGAAATATGAAAATATGCTGTTTACATTTATTAAGGTAGCATAACTATGGTAACAGACTTTTTATATTCCAAGAGTTTATATTTCTGAATAAGAGTCAGAACTCTACAACTCAAACCAAGGCACTTTGTTTAATTATAGTTGTTAGAGTATGAGCATATCAAAAATCAGTGATTTGAGGTATTGAGTATTAGCTATTTTAACATGAAAAAGTCATTTTATAAGTGAATTGGCCAAATGGAACTGCACCAAACCAAGCCTTTACTGGATGAGTAAAATGTTCCCTGGTTAAATTTAAGTTTATATCTGCTTTCACCATTCCAGCTTCGTGGGCCAACTGAATTTTATTACTCACTTGACCACATGCAAATTCTTAGTTCTCTATATAATTTGACCTGACTATATTTTATGTTAATAACAAAGGAAGTATTCCTCATATGTATGAGATTGTTTATTGTATGTGTGGGTAAAAATATATAGGCCCAAACATAAAACAAATGTTTTAAATTTTAAAAATAGCTCCTATCTATTATTGAATTGTTCTCTATTCTGAGAACAATCTTGTAATCTTCTAATTGAAAGAATTATGGTCACTAAAATATCTCATGTTTTTGTTTGTGTCATTGCTTTCTTTGTGTATATAATATGTCTACATCACAAAAGGCTAGTTCTCTGAAGGTAACAAAAATAGACACAAATGGTTTTATGTACCTTCTTTCCCCCAGAATTTTTATTCACTATAATTCTCAACATCAGAAGTCAGAATGCTTCTGTCTAAATTTCTGTTCAGTCATTTTTACCAGTCGTGTCACATTGGGCAAGTTACTTAAACTTTCTTCAGACTTAATGTTCTCCATAAAATGAAAGTTAATATTATTATGGATCTTAAATGCGAGAATACATCCTCTAGCATTTAGTGAGTATTGCAAAATGTTAATGTAGTGGTGATGAGGCTGTTAATGATGATCTGATGGAAATAAAGAAGATGGTGGTGGTGGTAGTAGGGCTTGTGATTGAAATTTCTAGGTGTATACCGAGAGATACTAATGAACTACCAGGAGGATTAACATTTTCAACTATGATGGAGGAACAGGGACCAGATATACTGTATCAGGTTAAACGACTGAAACTCAGGAAAAAATCTATAAAACAATGGTTTTCAGATATTTACAATAGGAGTATAGGACAGTAATCCCTGACTAAAAAGAATCAAGTGAGACAAAGACCATAGTTGTTTCAGTTTACTATCTAGAGCAGCATTCTCAACCTGTGGGTCGCAACCCCTTTGGGGGGTCGAACGACCCTTTCACAGGGGTCGCCTAAGACCATCAGAAAACACATATATAATTACATATTGTTTTTGTGATTAATCACTATGCTTTAATTATGTTCAATCTGTAACAATGAAATTGGAGGTCACCACAACATGAAGAACTGTATTAAAGGGTCGCGGCATTAGGAAGGTTGAGAACCACTAATCTAGAGGGAATTGCCAGACAATTGTGCAGGGAGGAGTACACATGAAGTTTGGCAGCCTCCCTTAGTAAGGAGATAGAGTTCATAGTTTAGGGATACTAAGGTGGATGGAATTTGTGAAGTGGGGTGCCAGTGAGGATAGTGCTGCACACAGAGAGTGCATTGAAGATCTATGGAAGGTTCCCCAAATTTAGCTGAGTATTGATTAGCATATGAGGAAACTATCTAACAACAGGGAAGATAAGATTAGCAGACAAAACAGTTGTAAAATTCACAAAGGACTGAGGATGGTTTGAATTCCCATTAGCTAGAGTAGAAAGTTCTCCTGACAGATGGCATATCCAGTAGAATCCCCAGAAGGGTGGGACCTCAGTAGTGGGGCCAAATTATCCCTAGATTAAAAGCAGTTCTGGACCTGCCTAACAGCACTTCAAAGTATGTCCAGAAAGGATTAAATTGTCCTGCATCTTAGCACTAAGTTCACAGATATTTAGAGGGATATACAAACTCTGACACCCAATGTAAAGTACACAATGTGTAGTGTCCACTCAATAATTATCAGGCGTTTGTAGAGGTTAGAAAATCTGAACAATAATGAGGGGAAAACTCAGTCAATAGAACCAGACCCCCAAAATGATACATATCATTGAAATAGCAGATAAAACAGTAAAAACAGCTATTATAAGAGACAAGTATAGCCAACTGAGGATTTAGGCAAATCTGCTTCCCCCCAAACACCCACAGTTTCTGTCAGGCCAGGACCAGCTGGGAGGACCAGTAGCACGTTTGACAGGGTAGAAAGAGACCTGATTGGGAGCTGATAGGTGCTTCCCGTGCCCAGTGGCATTGTTTGTACAAGTGCCAATTATTAAATTATAAAGATAAATAAATTGGAGTATATTCAAAGCTGAATAAAACCAGATGTTATAAATTCCATATGTTCAAGAAGTTAGGGAAAAACATAAGAGTTATAAGGCAAGACATGGAAGACCTAAATTGAATGTCTAGAGATGAAAAAAAAACCAAAAACACTGTTTGAAAAGTGCACTCACTGGATTAGTATTGATTGAGATTAGCAACAAACTAGACATTACAGAAGAAAAGATTAGGGAACTTGATTACATGACAATGAGACTATCCAAAATTAAATACGGAGAAAAAAGGCAGTGCTGTGGGACATCAAATGACCTGATATATGCAACTGAAACCCCAGAAGAATGAAGGAACAGAAAACTATATTTAAGAAGTAATTGCTGATAATTTTTCAAATTTGAGGAAAACTCTGACCTTAGATATCTAAGAAGCTGAGTGAACCTAGCATCTGAATCACTATTATTTAGCTATGAATAAAGGAACTGACTAGTCTAAATATCCTTTGAGTTTAGAACAAAAGGAAGTAAATTATAATTAAGCATATTGGATAATTTTGACATTCACAAAGGATGTTACTGTTACCTAAGAACCTATCCTATGTCTAGATGTAAATAAAAAGAACATTGCAACATGGATGTGTCTGATTACCTGTTTCCTACCATGACAAAAACAGAACAAAACAAGAGCAAAAACACTGTAGGACATCCCTACATTATTGAATGACTTATTGTCTCTGATAGTATAGTAGTAAAGGGACCTAGGATTTGGAGTCCAATAAACTAGAATTCAGATTTTGTCCCTCCACGTAGAGCTTTGGACAGTGCTTTTATCCCTCTGACTCAGCTTCCTTTGTGAAGTTAGAATAATACTGCCCAACCTCATAGTTTATTGAAAGTGACATAAGCTAATATGTGTGAAAATGTCTAGCACAGTGCTTGGAACATAATAGCTCCTTTGTTGAATATGATTTTTATTTTTTTCGAGTTCTCCTTCCTGAGTAGTATTTTCTGGCATCCCTTTTTGTTGCCTCTTAAACAATGACCATTAATACTGGAAGAGACCTTAGAGATCAGCTAAAATCAGCTCCCCCCCCCCCTTTTTTTTTCTACAGATGAAGAAATTGAGCCTCAGAGAGGTCACAGGGTTGCCAAGGGGGAGGATGTTCTATTTCCAAGCTCTACTGTGTGTTTTAAACAATAACATTAAAAGCAAGTTCTCTGTGCTTCCTCAGAAGCAAAACAGGCCTTCACATTTGCTGACAATTTCATTTTAGAACACAATAATGCAGATCTTAAAACTGAGCATTTAAATGAATATGCTCATATTACAAGTAAGTTTTTAGCATGGTGGAAGTGTTGTTACGGGTATTTTATGGCAGGATAAATGAGACAAAATAATGGCAAGGAGCTTAGCTTTTGAACTTCTGGTTAAACCAGAGTTACAAGCAAGATATTTGAGTCCTGTGCTCAGTATAGGACAGGTCTTAAAATAGACATTCTGTAAATATATGGAGCAAAGATATAAAGAGACATCACTTTAGACATGAAAAATAAATTGCATATAGCATGGTATGTAAAACATAATTATAATGTGTGCTAACTCTTTGCAAAAATTAATTTTAAACATGAGTAGAGACCAGAATACAGACCATGAAGAGTGCCCACACCCAGAAAGCCACATAGAAGCCATGCTGTGGCAGGCGGCTCCGGGCAGAGGCCCAGGAGATCAGAGAAGTCCTCCTGTGTTTCCATTTTTAAAGTACTGGCAATTGTTTGATTTAAAATATATATTAAAAAATTAGCTGCAGGGCCTATTTATAGTTCCAAGAACTTTTTAGAGAGAATAACACAAAAGCACTACAGAGCTGCTGAAATTTTAAATAATTCTTTGTGAATGCCCTAGGTTAATTTAGATCCCTGAAAACACATTAGGAAATTAAGCTGTAATGTGAGCTAATTCAGATTTTAATTTGGCAAAAAGAATGATCCAACTACACAGTTAATGTAAATAGAAGCATAACACAGGGAAATTAATGAGGTTTCCTTCGGATGAATCTTTGAGGAGGTAGATAATTAGCTCCTTTTGTTATGATTGTAGGAGAATGTGGCATTGTCTCTGAGGTGTAAAATAACTGTGGCTTACTAAGTGATAATGTGCTTCATTTGTCTTTTTCTTTTTAATAATTATTTATGTTAAACTCCCGTAGGATGAAGCTGCAGCACAGCCGCTGAACCTCTCATCCAGACCCAAGACAGCGGAGCCTGTCAAGTCCCCAACCTCTCCCACCCAGAGCCTCTTCCCAGCCAGCAAAACCAGCCCAGTCAGCCTGCCCAACAAAAGCGGCATCCCCAGCCCCATTGCAGGGAGCCTGGGAAGGGGATCCTCTCTAGGTAAATGGAAAGGTCAACACCAGGAAGAGACTTATGAATTAGGTAACAGAAACCACACCTGTTGAGCGATGACTGATCCTTGCTTCCAAAGTGTTCCTTAGTCCAAGAAAAAGAAAAAAAAAGTAAAATCTGTCCTACTGAAACATAACCTGATTTGGCACCCTTTGGGCTATTAGAGCTTTTGGGAAAGGCCATCATATAAATTCTGCTGGGATGGGTTCTTTAGATGATGATGAATTCGATCCAGCAAATCAGACTGTTGGGAATTTCTGTGTTCGATCAGTGCTTTGCCACTAAAGTAACTCTGGGCAGAAGGCGTGACCATGAGCTCTCCGAGGACCTAGAGGGCCCCTGGTCTCAAAGCTGCCCACCAAAATTCCTTTCAAATGTTATGTTTTCTTTTTAAAATGTATTTGAATTTCACATCTAATCTATTAGTTTGCATTAAAACAAATCTACGTGAAATAAAATGGGAATATAGTAAGATATAATTATCCTCTGGCTTCTTAGAGTTGCTGACACGTGGCCAGGTCTCTCTAGGAACGCTCACACCCCGTGTGAGAAGTGTGCAGGGAAATCATGGCTTCTGGCGTCAGTCGGACTTGGACTAAGAGCCTTTACTTACTAGCTGTATAATCCCGGGAAAGATACTTAATCTTTTAAACTTTAGTTTCCTAATCTTTGAAAGGGGGATATTATTACCTTGCTCATAGGTTGTTATGAGAATTAAGAGAGAAAAATGCATATAAATTGTCTAGCGTGGTGTCTGGCACTTTTAAGGGGTAAGGTTTAAAACGGCTGGGCTGAGTGAATACCAGCACCCTTACAAGTACGTGTGGAATGAAGCTTGTGAAAAACTTGTCAGGAGCTCTATTACTTTATTGTTACTATACTCTTTAAGTCTCTCACTTTTCAAATAAAGACACAGACATTCAAAGGGATTAGGGACTAGTGCTAGCATTTCTTCACCATATTACTTTCCTTGTGTTATTGAGTCCTGGAGCCTGAAATGCATATTGCAGTAAGTTAAATAATGTGTACATGTAGCCATTTACAGCTTACCATTTTTGCCTATTTGATTTTTTCACAGTAATCTTATGAGTTAGGTAGTGTAGTGTTATTACCCTGGTTGTATGTAAATGGGGTCCTCACAGGTAAAATGACTTGCCCACAACCATGTAGCTGTGCAGTCAATGGAACTAAGGCCAGACTCCATGTCCTCTCCCACGTAATCAGTGCTCCTTTTGTGAACCCACAGTTGGGGCATTTTCTGAACTGTGCTGAGTCGAAGGCAGAGGTGAGTCGTCCTCACTGAAATTTGCACATTAGGAGCCACACAGTGGCCTGTTCTCATTTTGAGTCAGGATGCCTTTTGGGAGCCCTAGATCCTCAGCCCAGGTTAGTGGGTTTGCATGGGAGCAAGGACCAAAGCAAATCCGGTGTATGAATGTGACCACTGGATCATCAGAAGCTGCGAGATGAGGAAAAAGCCAGCATCAGTAATAATAATTGACTTGATCTTGAAATGGCCCTCTATTATCCATTTCCAAGTTTTGTTGGGAAAGCATTGATTTGCTGTGTTGAGCATTGTGAGGGACGGAGGTAACCCTGTTACAGGCCCTGCTTTTATGAAGTTTATACTTCAGCAGAGCATATGTCTTAGATCCTGAACTAGAAATGGGCTGAAGTAATGCTCTCTGCTCCAGACAATATAGGAGAGATTTTTTGGTATCAGAAAAGCTTCAGAGCACAAGATATGGGTTTCTACATCCTAAAAAGTGACTGATTTTAAAATTTTCCCATAGATAGCCTTGGGAATATTTTCTAAAAGCAAAGGCATGTGCGCATGTACACACACACACACACACACACACACACACACACATGGGCCATGAAATGCTCATACCAGGTTACAAACAAGTGGGTTTGAAATCTACCAATCAAAAAGCTATTGTTTTATTTTTCTCTAGAACTGGAAAAACTTCTCTAAAGTATAAATTTTAACCTATAGTATAATGCAAGATATGAAGGAAAATTAGTCGGTTTAATTTTGAAAATTTTCCCACTGTGTTGCATGGAACATAATGAAAGTAAATATTTATTATCACGTTATTTGAAGCTTTGTTCTTATGTGAAAACCATCCCCACTCATACAGCCTCGCTGTCAGGAAGGCAGGAAGCTGAGAGCAGTGGGTGATCGGGCTGGGGGCAGGGAACGGGTTGTCATTCTCTTGGTAAATAACTGAGGAAGCATGATGAGTAGAATGCTTCATTAACCAGCCAGTGACTGGGGAACGGAGAGTGTGGGGTGTTTCTTCCCGCCCCCTCTCTCCTGCAGTGGACATACAAACACACACATACAGATGTCACTGAAGCACACATGTAGCCTCGCAGATCCTTTCTGCTAGGCCAGCAATAGCTTTCCAGAATTAGCACACCAAACATAATGAGCAGCCTGAACAGACATCTCTGTCCCCCCTTCCCACCTCTTTCTTCCCCTCTACTCTCCCGTTAATTGTTAGACATAGCAGCGCAGATAAATGTATACACACAATTGGAATCCAGGAACCTTCATCTGTGAGGTGGATTGACAGCCCAGATAAACTGGAGTGCTAGGGCATCCTCCAAGAGCTAAAAAACAAAGCAAAACAAAACCAAAACCCAAAACCACCAACAACAAAACAACTGGCCTTCTGTGCTCCGTGCACAGTATTGTGATATTCTTAATAGCAAACTTGCCCCTTCCTTGTTTGGCAAATGCAGCATTCTACAGGGGAGTGGAGAGCAGCATATTTTGTAGATTCTCACCTCACAAGCCTCTGATAATGCATCCTGTGTGTGCAGATATCCTGTCCAGTCTCAACTCCCCTGCCCTGTTTGGGGATCAGGATACGGTGATGAAAGCCATTCAGGAGGCTCGGAAGATGCGAGAGCAGATCCAGCGGGAGCAACAGCAGCAACAGCCACACGGGGTGGATGGGAAACTGGCCTCCATGAATAATATGGGGCTGAACAACTGCAGGAATGAAAAGGTAAAACTGGCTTCCCTCCTTCACTGGCTCCCTGGCCCCATTGGCTCCTTCTCATCTGGCCCTTTCCAGGCTCTCAGCATCAACGAGGCACTCAACCTACCTGCCCATTGTTGTCTTCCTGTCCTGTTCCAAAAGATTTAGAAATATCTTAAAATAAAGGGGATATGTGAGGTTACTAGAATAAGAATATAATATTTAAAAAGACGCTTATACGGTCATGATGGGATAGATTACTATAACTCATCACTGAATTTGCTCTAAGCTTCCTATCAGCCAGAGCAAAAAATAAAACAAAGCAGCTTATAGAATGCATTTGCTGATTTTGTTGTTGTTGTTTAACAAATATTTATCAAGTGCTTATGTTATGAAAGATACTGTTTTAGGCATGGGAGATGCAACAGTTAACAAATCAGATAAAAATCCCTGCTCTCATAGAGCTGACATTCTAATAGGGGAACACAGATGACCAAAAAAAAAATAATATGAAATATATAATGCAATGCCAGCAGTATTAGGAGTGAATAAGTGCTTTGAGAAAAATAGAAGGAAGTTCAGGGAATAGGGATTGTGGGGTTGCTCCTTTAGAAAGGGAGGTAAGGACTCTGAGAAAGTGACACTGAGTAGAGATATGAATGAAGCCATGGTGCATTGAGGTCCTGCTGCATGAGAGAAGGGGACGCATGGGACAGAGCATGGTAGACCTTGTGGGCCTTGGAAAGACTTTGCATTTTACCCTGTGGTGGGAACCCTTAGATGGGTTTTGTCCAGAGCATTGACATGATATGACTTACCTACAAAAAGATCATTCGTGTGATGTGTGAGAATGGACTCTAGGAGGTTAAGAATGGGGACAGTTGAGAGGCTTTTGTAGTTTATTGAGTGAAAAAATCCGATTATCTGATGAATGAATGATCCTTGCCATTCCGTGCTTGTTGCTGCATCACTGCAATTTCTGCCTCCCTCTTCACATAGCTGTCTTCTGTGTCCCTGTCTCTCCAAATCTCCCTCTTCTTAGAAGGACGTTAGTCATTGGATGTGGTTCTACCCTAATCCAGGATGACCTTATTTTAACTTGATTTTATCTGCAAAGACCCTATTTCCAAATAAGGCCCCATTTTCAGGTACCAAAGGTGAGGACTTGAATATATCTTTTTGGGGGACACAAGTCAACCAATTAGTGGGATACAGAGCCATTGCTCATTTCATATCATCCTCCCATTCTTGATGGATCTATATACATTAGCTAGGAGACAGCTGGGATACCAGAGGCTGGGAAGGGGTTTGAGGGGATGGAACTCTCATAGCATGTCTGTGACCAAAGCCCTCACCAGATTACAAAGCTTAGCTCTGGAAGTGTTGACTTCTCAAAGCTTAATAAAGAATTCAACTTTACTCTCAGTTACCATTGCATTGAATTACTGAAGTTAAGGTTAAATATATATATGTAAACATGTGTGTGTGTGTGTGTGTGTGTGTGTGTGTGTGTGTGTGTTTGTGTGTGTGGTATGTGTTTGTGTGTGTATACTATTTAAATATAATCATTATTGGACACCCTTCCTTGATTGATCCTCAGGTCGGAGAGAGACTATCTGGGGGAATGGCAGGTCTTTTGGTACCTGTTAAGCCATAAACATTTATATACTTGGGACTTGTCAGTCACTTGCCAGCCACTGGATCAGTTCAGTCAAGTGCTTCATTCTCCATGAAGTGCTTCATCCTTGGCAGTGGGCTCACAAGGCAGAGCCCTTCTTTAAGAGATCCCTTAATAGATGGTCAGGACCACAAGGGAAAAAAAGGCTTTGTCCCCAAAGTCTTCTACCTCTCTGATATTAAAGATAAACACAGAGTCATTCTTTTGACCTAAAATACTGTCTTGGGCCCAGTGAGAACACCATGGAATAATAACATATTTAATTTTAATGTAAATAACTTCCTAAGATCCTTTCTTGGAACATGGGTAGGTAAAGAAGTTTTGGCATAGGGCTAATGAGTGGGAAATTGGGTTAAAAACGAGGATTTATGCATCATGGACCATCTCCTACTTTACAGTTTTGTCCAGGGTTAATCCTAAAATTAATTTGAGACACATGTCAGTGATTTGTTTAATTGAGTCTTTTTTATTTATTAGTTTTCAAATGAAGTAATATATACTTACTGAAAATTCTGGTAATACAGAAAGATATATGGTGAAAAGCTAATTAGCCTCCTCACCCCATTAACTACCATTAATGATTCAAAAATTTTCTTTGAGAAGTAACAACCATTAGTGATTCAGAAACTTTCTTTGCATATATGAGAAAGTATTAATGATTTTAAAAATATATATTCTCACTTGGAATAGTAGTCACTGAGTGTCACCAACTACGTGATATTTGGCAAGTTGCTTAACCTCTCTGACTCTCAATTCCTTCATCTATAATATAAAAGTAATAATCTGGGTTACAGTGACATAAGCTTATGTGAATATACCCAGCCCAACTCCTGGTACAGAGTAGGAACTTTCTTTTTTTTTTAATATATTTTATTGATTTTTTACAGAGAGGAAAGGCGAGAGAGAGAGAGAGTTAGAAACATTGATGAGAGAGAAACATCCATCAGCTGCCTCCTGCACACCCCCCACTGGGGATGTGCCCGCAACCAAGGTACATGCCCTTGACCAGAATCGAACCTGGGACCTCTCAGTCCGCAGGCCGACGCTCTATCCACTGAGCCAAACAGGTCCCGGCAGAACTTTCTTATCTTATGTTTCCATACCTTTTTTAAACTGAATTTATTGGAGTGATATTGGTTCACCAAAACATACATCATCTACACCCTGAATCGTGTGTCCACCTCCCCAAGCAAAGTTTCTTTCTGTCCCCACTTTTCCCTGCCTTTGCCCACCTCCATCTCCACCTCCCCCTGTTTTCCTCTGGCTATCACCACACTGTTGTCCATGATGTCTATGTGTTATGTAAATATGTTTTTTTCATTAATCTCTTCACCTTCTTTCATTCAACCCCCCCCCACACACACACACACACCACTCCCCCCTGACAGCTGTCAGTCTGTTCCATGTATTCTTTCCAACTAAATCATGGTGGGCTTTAAATATGTGGAACAAATATACTACTCTGTCACAGATATGAGATCCTCACACAATAGTAGGAGGGTCAGTAGAAGGAAGCAGTAGATGTGTTGGCATATTGGCCAACTCACATACTTAAACTCCTTTCCAACTGAGGTAATATACAAAGTTAGAAACTTCAGATTTATTAGATTAAATCATGGTTTCTCAGCCTTGGCATTATTAACATTTTTGCCCTGGTAATTCTTGGGGCTACTAATGTGGCCTCTATTTATTAGATGTCAGCAGCATTCCCCCCCTTTGTGACAATTAAAAATGACTTTAGACATTGCCAGATGTCTTCTATTGGCGGAGGGAGGACAAAATTACCACTAATTGAAAAACACTGGGCTCAGTAAAATATATTTAGAATTAATACATTTCAGAAATTTCATTCCACAAAAAACTAATTATTTCATTTAAATAACCATATTATTATTAAATTATGAAAAATAACTTGCCTTTGACTAATGTCATGAATGAAATATTTCTTTGAAAAATACTATGGAAATTTTTGTTTGGAATATTAACATAAAGAGTATTTAAAATAGAATGTGTATATATGCTATTTAGTTTGTGGGGAAAAGAGACATGTGTTCAGTACTGGTGCAGCAATTCGGCCTTTCAGTGCAGACCCTCAGTCCTATTAAGCAGGCTTAGAATAGCAGCATCCTGATCTATAACCTAGCAGGACATTGGCATTGGACACACCGTGCTTTCAGCAGTGACTCTCTCTGTGTCTGACACTGTGACCTGAGATAGTTGAATTTGTACCATCAATTGGAGTTGAAGTTCAAAGTTAATGCACTATTAACTTCAAACACAGGTCAATTTTAAATATTTCTCACTGAGTTTTCTTAGTTCATTTTGGGAGAAGACGTCTGAGGTTCTGAAATAAGAACACCTTATTTCACACTAGAAGACAAGGAAGAGAGATGAGAGATTAGGCTAAGATCAAAAGTAATGATGAAAAACCAAACTTGACCTAAAACATATCACACTGAATATGACTCAGAAAGTTCTGGTTTCCCGGTTAAAGGGAGTTGTCTCAGCCGATGACTTCACTGGTTGAATTTGGAGCACTGGAAAAGTCCATGACATTCAGGGATGTGTTCACAAGCTCTCCTTAACTTTTGTGAGCCCCCTCCCCACTAGTGTCTGTCATTTGAACATACATTTTGTGATTGTGTAGGCTTTGTTTAGTTTCTAGAGTCGGTATCTATTCTTGCTTATTAAGTTAGTTGCAGTCAGAAGAGTAAATTTAGAACGTTAAAGGACTCCTGTTATGGTAGATTTGGTTCTCTTATCATCAAAATAATCCATCTTAATTTTATGAACTTCCATAGGACACTAATTTTTCTTCTGGAGCATCAGACCTTCTGAAATCAAAGAGGGTAAATATATAATGTGAAATAAGGTTGATAAAATGTATTGTTTCAAATTTAACTGTCTTCAAAATTGTCCATTTTGGAATTATCTCAGTTTCCTTAAATATAAAGATCTATAAATTAGATTTATGAATTTGTTCTCATAATCTGTAATACAGTTTTAGAAAATTTTCACAGTGTTGCTGTCATAAAACTTTATAATTTATTAAGCATCCCTGGTTGCTCTCTTATTTGGACATTCTTTATAAAGGGGTGTGTCATAGAAGCAGATGATGAGGTGGAAATTAGCGAGCAGGTTTATTGGGGAGTTCTCTTTCTGATTGCCACCTATGTAATGGAAAGGATCAAAGCAATGCAGTCTCAACCAACCTCAGCCAAGCCCATAGGAAGCTTGGAGCCTGCCATGTCCATTCAGAATGCCCCAAGTGGAGGGGGTGAGTTTTTACACACTTGTGCCAACCAGTTTTTGGATGAGGGCTTCCTTTGGAAGTCTCTTCAGCTAGGTCAATGCCAAACAGCTGAGGGTGAGCTACCAACATATTTTGCAGCTGAGGGAATAAATCTTTCAGTCCTAAAGGAGAAATCTGGGCAGTGCATCACAATGTCCATTGTAGATTGTTTGTATGACATGTAGTAACATTAAATGTATATAAAACATGTTTGATATGTACATAAATGTGGACAAGCATTTACTACACAGGCATAGAAGTGCTTGTGTCTTTATAATATGGAATCGCAAATATGTTCATATGAATACATGTCTACCCATGGTGCATTTCACCTTATTGGGTAAATCCCTATTTGGCGCTTTTAAAATGAAACATTGTTAACTTGATCATCCAGAACGGCACCAATGGAGATGTTCTGGTTGGTTGTGTCACAAGATATTTAGGGGCTGTTAAATATATGGATTGTAGGGACAATAGACTGTAACGGCACCTTAGGAGCTGTTCTGCCCCATCATTTCCACATAGCTTCTGTGCATGGACTGTGAGTGCCTTGCCAGCAGAAGTCTAAGTTACTGTCCTGGCTTTTAGCTTTCCACCCCAAGAACACCAGCCATCTCTATCCCTCAGTACCAGTGCAATTAGATTAGATTATAGGCTAATTGCTTACCAACTTTTGTTATTTTGACATCTCTAAGACAGAGTATTTTAGCCATAACAGTACACAGCAGAGTTTTAAATAAGATGCTTCTAAATGTTCTTAGAGGTAAGTTAGAAGAGAGGCAAGGCAGGGTGGGCTTTCTTAGTGTTAAAGTGTGTTCTCTGACTTTTCTGAGCTTCTTAATGTTTGAATGCTGACTTGACGATTGGTTAGAGCACTGTCCTTCATAGGTATTATACAACTTGGGAATCTGGTTAATTAGCTCATTTTAATCATCTTGAGGAGCCAGTAGACTGATTGCCTACTGATCAGAGCTGCTCATAAATAGGTAGATTATACATCCGTACACATGTAACCTGAACTGCTGCCCCATTCATCTTTGGAGAGTCTCTTAAGAAAAAAGCTTGATCTCATTGGGTGTCAAAGTGAGCTGCCGTGGACACTATGATCACACTTAGCCTGTCTCTCAAGTATGTTTGTGGGATTAAAACTGCACAGTGAAGGATTGGATGGGACATTACATTTGATCTAGTCCAATTACTTCAATTCACAGATGGGAAAACAAAGACCTAGAGAAAGACAATGACTTGCCCATGATCTCACAGTGTATTCATGGCAGAGCATGAATTAAGCCCCAGCTTTTTCTTAGTCAATAACATTACTATTTTTAGAATAGTACCAGATTAATTTTCTATGCGACCTTTAAGCCTATTACATACAAAAGTACTTACACTGGCAGTCTCAACCCTTTGATGGAATAAGCCAGGGTCAAAATAAACTGAAACTATGAAGCAGAAAAACATTGAGCTCCCTGCCTCCTGTATACTTGTCACCTCTGTCAAGGTGGGACATTCTTCCCTGCCATGATATCCACTGGTTCTGGCTGCGGAGAGATACCAGTCAGGAAACAGAAGGTTGAATGATGTAGATAGAGACAGACGTGGTGGCTAGACCCAGAGCAGTGTTCGAATTAGAGACTATGGGTTTTGGAGTTGATTAAAACTGGGCCTCAGTGTCCAGGGTTAATCTTGGATGTAGCCTGTGCTATTTTCTAATGTTATTTAGGTGAGTGACTTAACCTCTGTGAATCTCAATGAGCACATCTATAAAATAGAGGCAATTATCCTTTTCTTGAAGGATTGTTTTGAGGAAAAACATGTCTAGAGTACCTGACACAGAATATATTCTATTAATGTTAGGACCTTTTTCTCTTTAAGGCCTCAGCAGGTTGTCAAATCTATTGTTAATTTTGTTAAATTTTCACTCTTGATATTCTCCAATGATGAATGGGGTTAACCTACTGCTTCTTGGGGACAAAATGTCTTAAGATAGAGTAGAAGGTTAGCAAGAAACTAATAGTCACCTTCTTACAAAATCAAGATACACATTTTTCTTTTTCATTCTTCCAATAACTTGCATGTACTAGCTACCTGCTATGATCTGGCCATATGGAAGATAATAATGTTAAATTTGATTACATTATCGTGCTGGGGAGCTTCTGTCCCTACTAATTTAATGTATACTTTAACATATTTCCAGAAAATCAGAATTTCAATCTATGATTTTTGAAAATACTTAACCTGATTTTTGATAACCATATGAATTTCTCATGCCAAAATGATACTTTTTCAATCATGGAAATAATAATCCAATCACTGAGGTACCATGTAAACTTGTTCTTGTTTATTCAAAAAAGCAGTTGTTCATTTTTCACAAGTGTAAATTCTTGCTCATCACCCATAGTTTGCAAAAAAAAAAAAATCAGAATGTTTCTTGAGTATTACATTGATGTCATAATACTGCCCCCTTTTACTGGAAATGAAAAACATATTGGATGTCTTCTGCTCCACATTGTCAATGGCCACAGCTCCTTGTTATTTGTACAATTGATTCAAATATTCATTGTTGCGTGACAGGATATGTTCAGACAGAAGATCAATATAGCCATAAAACAATAAGCAAAAGAGGATTGTGAGCAAATGATTTCACAAAGTGTGTTTGGAATGACTGAGTGTTTATATAGCACACAGAATAGTGAGATTTTGTTGTTTCCAAAGAAGTTCATAGTACTGATTAGTCAGGAAGGTTGTTTTTGTGAGCGTTTAACTAACATGCTCAGCTGCAGCACTCCTTTCCATGTTAACCTGTTTCCAAGGTAACAACAACGTGTTATGAGGGGTGTGGACACATTAGACAATTTACAGTAAGAGAAAATTCAAATTTTAACATCCTCACTTGCTAAGCAGAACAGTAGTTGGTTTTTAAAAAACATTTATGTAGCACTTTTCACATCATGACAAGAAATATTTTTGTAATGCTTCTATGTTTTAAAAATATTATCACATATTTATCTCTCTTGAACCTTTCCAAATTTGGGGATGTAGTGACACTATCCTGTTTTGCAGATTAGGAATGTAAGTCCAGCCCTAGATCACATTCTTGCTCTCCCTCTAATTTTCTCGATCAGCATTCCTTCTCTTCATCATCTCACTTGTTCCCTCCATTTCTGTGAGATTGACGGGCAGTTTTATTCAGAATCTAAAAGAAGACATACATCTGAGTTTCAAACATCAATTTTAATGAAGGGAATGCTAAAATCATGAGATAAAGAAGTCCACCTACATACATATGCTTCATGCGTATTTCTTTGAAAAGGATAGTTATTTATACTTGTGATGGTGTTTTTCTAAAACAGTATACACAGATCAAAATGCTATAAAGTTAGAAAAAATATAAGTTTTATTAATTTTAGGTTTTATGTTTGAACCAATAACATTGGGCAACTATGCAGTGCTGTGTGTAGGCTTCTGGCTGAAGGTGATCATTAAGTTCCATGTATTTCTGTTGTCAGGGCTACTTGATTGGTTGCCTAGCTACTAGTTTAAGATCTTATCCATGAAAACAACAACAAACTTGTTTGGTTTCTTTCTTCTCTGCACGTAAAATGGAAAAAATGGTGAGAATTTATATAGGCTTACAAGGTTCAAGATACTTCCTAGGGATGGGGTGGGGAAAGAGCAACACAGGGCTTTTAGGTTTGTTTACAAGTATCTTAAATTATAATGCCATCTCCAGTGGAAGGATCTCCCAGAGCAAGGGTTAAAATTAGATACATCACAGTCCAAAACTTTGCATAAAGACTTGTTGGTTTGATTATGTATGGAGCAGATTTACTCATAATGAGGATTTTATAGACCTAACCTCCGGCTATGGCAAGTACATCCTAATCCTTAATCTTTCTGGATCTAATCTCTTAATCCTCCTAGATCAGCTGTCCTTAACATTTTTGGTTTTAGGGCTCCTTTACAGTCTTAAAAGTTATTAAGAACCCCAAAGAGTTTTTATTTATGTGGGATATATCTATCAATATTTACCATATGAGATAGTAAAACTGAAGAATTAAAAATATGTATTTACTTATTTGAAAATAATAGTAATAAACTCATTAGACATTAATATAAATAGCACTTTTTAGTATTAAGTAAATTCTTCAAAATAAAAAAAAATAGGAAGAAGACCAGCTTTGTTTTATATTTTTCCAAATCTCTTTAATGTCTGGCTAAGTGGAAAAGATAGCTTGATTCTCATATCTGCTTCGAATTCAATCTTTTGCTGTATCACAAGGCCATTAGGCCTTTAATAAATATTTCCTCCTTCTCTCCCTCTCTGTCTCTGTCTGTCTGTCTCTGTCTCCATCTCTCTCTCTCTTTCTTACTTTGTTCCTAGCTTCCACATCCACTTGGTTAGGTTGTGGATAAGAGCAAAGTTTTGAAGTTAGACTGCCCAAGTTTCTCTAAGAAATGGGAATAGTCATAGTTTCTAAGCACAAGTGGTTGTTGTGAAGATTTAATCAAATAATCCATGTGCCAGGCCTTGTCCAGTGCCTGACCTATAACTGG